ACACCATGCTGGTTTGCTTAAGGATGATTTGTTATAATACAAGTGTCTGGGTTTGCACACAACATGCTACACATGGTTTAGAAATTACAATTCTTGTGTTCACAGGAGAAACCCAAACCCCAAAAAGGTTTAGCACAAAGTATGAAAAGAACCAATTAATGAAACAGATCTCTATTCTTACCTGCTATAAGTCAGAGTTTTCCATTCCTCCCCACCGGATTCAATGACTCCCCGAGTGATTATAAGTTCTCCAAATACTTTCAAAGACTTTTTTGTAAACAACAACAACAAATGCACACCTGTGTTTCTAGTGGGTGCTCATTTTTTAAAGAAAGATTCTTAATATTTTAATTGCTGTTCTGCCTGTTTTTAGCCTTTTTTTTTTAATCCCTAACTGTGGAGTGGTTTTTTTTGTTTGTTTGTTTCAGCCTTGTTGATTAGCAAGTAATTATGCCTGGAAGCCTGTTTTGACAGCCAGAGCTGGTAGAAAAACAGGGGGGGGGGAACCATTTAAAACAAAACAAATGTGTGCTCACCTACAATTGTCAAGGAACACGAGTGGTTAAAAGTTGGCACTGCTTTCTTAAGACAGTTTTTTGGAAGTGAGGGCAACACTTTTCCTCCACCAATGTTAGCCTCATGGCCATTTTCCCAAGAACTGCAATAATTTTGATGTTTACTACTGTGACACGGTAATCTTGTAGTCCCAGTCCCCTCCTCTTCCTCCTTTCCCCCCCATCTGCTACCATTGTAACTAAACTGACAAATGGGGACACATTGTAGAACGCCCATCGTTAGTGTAATTAGCAGCTTGTGCACTGGGAACTCTGCTACAGGGGGAGGGTATGTTGGAAGGAGCAGAGAAAAAAAAACACAGGAAATAACCAAATGAACACTTTGGGATTGAAAGGGGTGTACATCAGGCGGAAAGAAATGTTTTTTCATTCCGTGGATTCCTTCCTGCTGATAGGAAATAGGATTGTTTTTCTTTTAATGAAAAAGAAATTCTTTCCTTCTGTTTGTTTCAGAACTCTTCATGGGAGTGGGAATGGGGGGAATCCTTTTAGGTATGTATGAAATATGCAATCCACCTATCCATTGTTGTGATTCAGAGATGGACAAGTGCCTGGTTTCTTTCTTTCTTTCTTTCTTTCTTTCTTTCTTTCTTTCTTTCTTTCTTTCTTTCTTTCTTTCTTTCTTTCTTTCTTTCATTAAATCTCTGCACGAGTGCAGCTGGGATATTTTACATTACTTCTCTCCAGGCCTGGCAGTACAAAACTTTAATAATAATTTTAAGAGATTAAAAAAAACCCCGACATTTGTTGCTTTTTTATGCCTCTACTTTGTCTCATGATAGAGCCAATCCCCTGGATAATAAACTAATCAAATATTTGGCTTTGTTTTGTTTTAGGATGTTTTCTCTGAAAAAAACTCCCTACTCTTCCTGTCCTCCTGTGCTTTAATAAAGCTAGATCAGCTCTAGAGTCATCACTGTTAAATCAGACAATAAGAGATTCCATAAAGAAAAATCATGGAAGAGAGGAACACAATTTGTGGCAAAGTCCTGTTTTTCTTTGTGTTGAAGAAAAAGGAAATTCTGTCAATATTCTCCTTGGGGCATATTTATCTTCATTGGATGGCAGGTTCTAGCTAAGCAATCTGCATTGTACTGCAGATCAAACCTCAAACAACCTTTTCCTTGGGCTCAGTGTAAACAGGTGACAGTACAATCAACAATAAGGCAAATCTTTTGCTCCAGTTTGTCTTTCAGTAGAACAGTGTTCTTTAAAAGATGCCACCACCAACCTCCTGCTATGTATTTGGAAGGCACCCCTAAGAATGTCAGTTCCCCAAATGCTTCTTGTACTGGAAGGCAATTAGACTTTGAAGCCTTGGATAACATTTAGAGCAAGAAAATGGTGATGAAATAATAGATATGATTTCAAATTGTACCAAACACATAAGCCAATCCATTTAATTGTGATGATTTTATCCAGTTTCCCAACACTCAAAGCCTTCATTGCCTTGATAGTTCTGTTATTGTTCTTCTGGGTGAAAGAAAGAATGCCACTTGCCTCTTTTAAAATAATTAAGTGATATTAGGATGCTGTCTGTTTCTCTTTCCTAGCTTTCTTTCTTTCTTTCTTTCTTTCTTTCTTTCTTTCTTTCTTTCTTTCTTTCTTTCTTTCTTTCTTTCTTTCTTTCTTTCTTTTTTCCTTCCTTCCTTCCTTCCTTTCTTTCTTTCTTTATCTCTTTCTCTCTTTCTTTCCTTTTTTGCATATTTAATCGCATACACTTGCCATCTTTCTGTTATTTCTCTAACCTTGCTCATCCTTATTTTAATTTCTCCCCTCCAACAGTTTACTAAATGACTTCAAACAGGTTTATATTTCTTTTCCTCTATATATATATATATATATATATATATATATATATATATATATATATATATACGGTATGCGCTGTACCGACTCTTCTCTTCCTGTGCATCAATCTCTCTGTCTTCCTAATTTTACAACTGATTCTAGGAATACTCAATTATCTATCATTTTCATTTAACTCAATACAAACCACACACATTTGCAATTGTGGGTGGATAAGTGGCCCCAAGCCCCACAGAATTCTGAACAACACAAATAGTAGGAACGAACCCACAATTTATTAGGCAACTGAATTAAATCGGTTTCAGAGGATGGAGAAGGGAGAATTTGATCATGTGTGATGCAGCCTGGAAATGGGTAAATGATGGTGCCCTAGAATGATACACAATGACGCCAAAAAATGTTAATGGAAAATAAAGGACCTAAAATAGCAATATGCTAGTATTGTGTAGAAAGGCTGCAATGGACAAGGGCAAACTCAGAAAATACCATAGGACCTTTTCAGATAGCAAGAAGGGCAAAATATGTGGAAAAAAAAATATGAATGCCTACAAATACAGGCTTGTGAAACTTGAATAAAGGACGGTGTGCATGGTACTTGGGATTGAAGCTACGCTGCTCCGTAACAGCATTCGGATTTGCGAATGCAAATGAACCGGCAGAACTAAGAAACAAATTAGCGTTAACACTTTGGATAAAAACTAGCTTTGTTTGGCATGGATTGCTTTCAAGAGATGGGAAAATTTAAAACCAAACTAATGAGAGTTACCTGAAATAAATAAATAAATAAATAAATAAATAATCAATCAATCATCCTCATCCTCATTGTCATCCTTGATTAGGACTTGAACTGTTAAGCTTTTACCAGACTGTGAATCAAATTGAACATTAAAAATATAATAATAATAATAATAATAATAATAATAATAATAATAATAATAATAATAAGCAAAAGCAAGCAAGGGTAGTACCAATAGTCATAGGCTCCTTGGGTGCAATTCCAAAACAACTGGAGCACCACTTGAACACCATTGGAATTGAAAAATTCGCTATTAGTCAATTGCAAAAGGCAGCCTTATTAGGAACTGCTTCCATCCTGCGACGATACCTGCAATACCATCAAACATCCACATCTGCCTATCCCAGGTCCTGGGTAAGGACTCGATAGGTAGACAAAATGCCAAATCCAGTCTGAACATCTGGCTGACTGTGCGATGATCGATAATAATAATAAAACTGTGGCAAGAGAGGATTCCATTCACAAAAAGGAGGATCTGATAGAATAAAATAGCAAATAAGGGATACATTTGCTTGAACAGAAAGCACTAAAGGGAGAAAGAAGACATTTATTGCGATACAAATACTTTGTCATCAAGTAAACTAGGCTACATGCGGTAATTTAGCGAAAAGAATGGCTTGCTTAATTCCCTTCTTAATTTCTTGCCAGCCATTCTGCTTCTGAATTTTTTTTCAAGTATGGCACACACTACGAAGAATGAGACTATTGATATAGATGGACTAATTATGGATTAGCCCAGATTGAAGGAGGAGAGGGGTCATGTTCCTGATTCTCCCAACATAAACACCATCCTTTTGGCAGGAAACCAGCACAAGAGGAGAGAAATCTAGCTCTATCTTTCACATACATCATAGACAGTTTAGAGCAAAACAAATCCGCGCTTCCGCTTGAATTTCTCATATGCCTTACAAATATTATTATTCATTACATTTCCAGGGATGTTTTAGAGAACAGCTCAGATGTCAGCAGTGCACCAGAAAATGGATGAAATAAATATTTTTCAGGAAACTGGCCCTTATGATCATCTTGCCAAGAAAGACAGAGGGAAATAAAAATCACAGGCAGAATTCATTGAACATGCAGAAAAATACAATTTCTGTGTTCCTATAATATGCTTTGTCTGAGGAAGCACACAAGCTTTGGCACAACGTGATGGCCTGGTTCATACAGTTTGCCAAAACGATAACTGGGTTCCCAAACCACATTGAATCAAGCTACTCTGTTCAACTTTAATTAGTTTAACGTGTTATGTGGACCCACTCATAAAGCTACAAGGTGACATTTAAGTCCAAGGCAGTTACATGCCTGATTAGCCGCTGAGTGTTTATTACAAAGGATGATATCTAACAGGTTACATCATTGCTTACTTCCCTGGATCATAATTCTTGAAGTTTACATTATGAAAGGGGGGCATATTTCTCAGTGTAGGATGGTTTAGCTCAGCAGGTGATTGTGGCACAAAACACAGTCTGAATGTTGATGTTAGATTAAGCCTGCTAAAACAAAGGAGGCCTGTTTAGCACCTGAATGGACAAACATCCAGCAGACCATTTTTAACCCATCATCCCCAGGATAGAAAGAGGGAGACAGATGTAATGAATATCTAAAACTCATAAAACATGTTTTTTTTTACTTACTTTTTGCACTTTGACTCAAGTTAAAAACAGTTACTATTTAAAAGGGATTTGATACACAAAGGATATTGTACTGATACAAAAAATGACATTAGTGAATGCTGTACGGTCCTGTATTCTTTATGAAACATCTAGTTACTTGAGCCTACTTTTTGAAAAACTGGGGAAAAATAGCAAAGAACCTACCTGTAGCTGAACTTAGTTGTCATCTTCCTCTGATGAAATCAGTGCCCTGTGAATCTAAGAAATGAGGTTTTCCCAGCCACATCTTCTTTTCCAAAATATTTATTCCGGAGTAGTTCTGTTAGTCTTTAAGCAAATATAGCATCAGTCTTTATTACACATACTCACCAAAGTGGCTGATGGTATTCTGTGTTGACAGCATCACTTCCTCCTGTCTTATTGCCCTGCCAACATGTTTGTAACACTCACCAATAATACCATGTCTGTTGAAAGCCCCAAAGACTAACCACATCAAACATGACATTGCAAAGACTTTTCTGTGCCAAAGGTTTTGGTCTGCTTGGTGCCAAATACCAAGCATTGCCAAGAATATATCAACTTGGTAAGACATTCTTTCCAATCCTTTATCTGTAGTCTGAGCCAGTCTGCATGAAACCTGCATTGCACATTGTATGGTACAAGTACAATACTACAGACTTTGCAAGGCAGCATATAGTTCCCTAAGTTTTGCATGAATGGATAACCTAAGCAATATCTCATCTTAGATTATTTTTCTTAAGAAGTTACCCTTAAGGATTGCAAGGCAAACATGATAAAGATTTCAGAAAGGAGCTGTCCAACATTATGGTGCTGAATAATATCAATTATCCCTAGAAGTCACATATTGTCTAAGAGCTGTCTCCAGAGAAAGTACTGATATTTCACCCCAATACATCACCTACCCTAGATGGCTAACTTCCAGACAATTGCAAAATGATTCATTTAGAAAAATTAACCACCTTTTCTGCTGTGGAGTTTTCACCAATTATATTTTCCCCAATGATCATGCAATCTCTCCTGTCACAAAAGCATATAATTCATTTTAAAATGCATCAGTGCAAACACTTATGACACAAAAGCATACCATATACACTTTTTAAATCATTTGCCAATGACATTTCAAAGAACATACCTTCCACCTAATAAAAAGTAAAATTAGTTAACCCAGTTTTCTTTCCATTATAAGATAGTCTGGGGAAAAGACAGTGAATAAATTGAATTTATTAAATATTGGGGGGGGGGAGTTATTCAGGTGGTATCAAAGTGAAGCATTTTAAAGATCAGCACACCAATACTTGACGTATATTTATCTTGGAAATATTCACTTATCTAGGCATCTTGCTTTATAGATAGGAAAGTGCCCTGATGTTTGTTTATTTATTGATACTTCACTCTTTATTTCCTGAAGGTTTTGTGGTTCTGCTATTTTCTGTGTGAACAGAGAAACTGTATTGGTTTTCGGTAGGCATAAAGGAAAGAAAAGAGAAACTGATGTCTCTAATTTCTACTGAATGTAGAATCAAAACCCTGGACTGAGATTCTCCTCAGCACAAACCGTTTGACAAACAGCAATCAGATAACTGAGAATGGCAGTGACATCCAGCACAACCTCTTTGTTAGCTCCTAGGCAGGGTGTGATTGTTCTCCAATTCAATTTGCACCACAGAGAATTCAAAAGAAGCAGTTTCTCCCATCTTGTATATTAAAAAAAAAAAAAAGGAAGGAAGGAAAGAAGGAAGGAATTGTGACCAGCTCAAGGAAATGAAGAAAAAAAAAAGACTCCAAGATTAGATTAAAGCACGACACTATAATCAAAATTGATGAAATCAATTATTGGGATTTAGTGAGTTCTGCAAAGGAGCAATTAGTTGCCTTTTACAAGAGATTATCTTGTAGTATCATTAACAGCTTTGATGTCAGAAAATGGAAGTGGGGACGAAGTGAAGGAAAGGGATGAAACCCAACAGCAGAGAAGCAAACTCAGTTTTGCTACCATCAGCTGTACAGGAGGTATTTTATTATCAAAAGGCAAGATAGTTGGACAAATGTTTAAAGTTTCAGAAGATTATTCGATCATTATTTTAACGTTCCAGTTTTTTCTCTAGGCGCTGCTTCCCTTCGCGTTATCCCACAAAAATAACACCGGGCAACAGAACTGGGCTGAGAGCGATTGGCCCAAAGTAACAGTAGCTGAAGGTAGAGTTGCAACTTAATCTGCCCAAATCCACACTTAAACCACAATGACTCTTGAAGACTAAAGAAATACAAAGAAGAAAGAATAGTTATCCATACAGGAATAATGTGGAGAAAGGAGAACAGTTTTATATATAAGATTTACAAAGAGTGTATGAAAAGGTACCTCTAGTGACTGGATTCCATAGAGATGGACGTGAAGGGGAAACTCATATTCCATCATTTATTACAATCACACCCTGCCTTTCCATCCTTCCATCAGGATGAGAAAGTCAGTCAAACCTAACCACGGAAAACACACTTGCAGAGCTACGGCAGCAGAAAGTCAACAACATTGACGAGGGCACCCTATGGTGACAATCCGATATTCCGAGAGCAATCTGACACCACCGATCCTGAAAGCATTTGCTCAAAAGCTTGCTTGCATCTTCAACTTTTTTCAGGACCTGGTTAGGAGGTGGAGGTTTAATGCTGTCTTGTTTCTTAAAGGGGAAGCGCAGGGGAAGGAGGAAAAGGCAAGCATTTGTCTTCAGCAAAGTTTGGGACTCCTTCGTGGTAGCTGAAAAGGGGAGTGGTAGACAGAACCTTTCCTACTGTACCTGTTTGGCTTTGACAGTTAGATTGGGAGAAATGTTCAAAAGCAAGGAAAGCTCTGTGAAACTAAACTGGATCGGAATCTTGTTTCTGACAGCCGGCAGCCAGATGCCTTTCTGGTTACTCATTAAAGGCAGACCAACAACTTTTCCACCTGTTCATTTTGCGTCAAGCCCTGGACGCTTCAAAAGAGGATGGCAGTGGTACAAACAGATCCTATTGACTGATAATGACTCACATCTAGCAACTAACCTCTTTCAGAGGCTTCAAGAAAGCAGTTCCCATCAAGCCACTCCATATTCAGACCCACTGACTAGTTTACGGGAGTTGGTGTCTGCCCCATCTGGAGGGCAAGAAATAGAATATTCCTCTGCTCCTTTTGATGGTCACACACATCAACTCAAGAAATACACACACAGGCTTTTTGGGGGGGGGGACATGGATCAACTGACTGGAATACATTTCCGGAGGTATACATGGGGTGTGCAAATTGCCCTTAAGTGAAACTCAACCCACCAGCCCTCTGAGGCTGTGCCCTGAGTGATGGATGGGTGCCTGGTCTCCAGCCGACAAGAAATTGTTTCCTAACCCACCTTCACATCAGGGAGGTGGATTCTCTCTCCTGTCTTTCCCCATCCATTGAAATGCCTTGCTTATAATCCCCAGGGGAAAGAAAGCGAGGCGGAAAGAAATGAGAGAAAGCGAGAGAGAAGGAAAACAAAAACAAAAACAAAAAAACACCTTACCTCCAGGTTCATTTCAAAGCATTGCGATGGGTTGAATGAGTTGCATCACTCATTCCCAAAGTTTCCTCCCGGATGAGTTTTCTTTCCAGGGTGGAGATTTCTTTTCTTTTTTGTCCTTCTCAAGCACGCGGGGTGTGTGTAAAAAACACACACAGGCGCTTTGTTCCCTGACAGACAGGTTCAACACGTGCATGAACCAAGCTGTCAGAACCAAGCTTGGTTAGAAATGGGAAAGGGGGAGAAATCTGTGAATGTAAAGATACAGGAGTGGGGGGGGGGGAAGCATCTCTTCCCACAGGCACACAGAGACCACACAGCTAGATTTCCCCCTGCATCCAGCTGGAGCCTGTCTCTTTAAAGCCTCGTTCAACCCACAGGTGGCCTCCATCACTAAGGCGGACATACATGACGTCATGTCAAAGAGGGCGGAGTGGCTGCATGTGTGTGTGTGTGTGTGTGTGTGTGTGTGTGTGTGTGTGTGTATGTGTGGAAGCGAGAGAAAGCCATTTCAGAACAAAAGCCCTGTCCCAAAGATGCAACCATGACAACTCGGTTGTCAATGCCTGCACTCAGCCATTTTGAAGCTGCTCAGCAAAGCTCCTTTGGGTTCTCCTAGAGAAAGAAGGGTCTGTGTTGAAATACATATTAATGTGTAGCAAATTAATATTTTTCCATGGATCTCTTCCCTCCCCCCCAAAAAATAGGAAAATTGCAAAAGTGCACGATCACTCTAAAGTTATAAGTTGGGTTTGAATGTTGCTCTAAGCGACAGCTTTCTTTAGTGAGATGTATTGAAAGAACCACAAATGGCTGTGTTTGCCCAAAATTCTGAACTATGAATTATGTTTTTTGAACCAAAATGGGTTGGTTCCTGCAGAATGGCCAAAATCAAACTATGCTGTCCTTTTGTGTGAAACAGGCCACATAAAGACTATCTAAAGAATAGAATAGAATAGAACAGAACAGAACAGAACAGAACAGAATAGAATAGAACCTTGGAGATCTTCTAGTCCAGACCCCTGCTCAAGCAGGAGAACCTATACCATTTCAGACAAGTGATTCTCTAGTCTCTTCTTAAAAATCTCCGGTGATGGAGCGCCCACAATTTCTAAAGGCAAGCTGTTCCACTGGTTAATAGTCTTCACTGTTAGGAACTTTCTCCTTAATTTCAGGTTGCTTCTCTCTTTGGTCAGTTTCCAACCATTATTTCTCGTCCTGCCCTCTGGTGCTTTGGAGAATAGTTTGACGCCCTCTTCTGTAGAAGCAATCTTCAACTCACAGAAGAAGTTAGGAAATAAGTCTAATGAGTAAATAAGGTCCAGGGTTATGTTCTAAAGGACTATATATGAGGCTAAAGAATCCAACTCACTTTGGACTGGCTCATGTGCACAGTTATTTTTTTCTGCAGACTTATGTTCATTGAAGTTCATGTATGTTGCCATTAAATATTGTTCAATTTACACACCGATCAAGTAGAAGCAATTATTTCCATTTCTTTTTGAGATTTACTACTGGAACAATTCACCTGAAATTTATGTAGGAGATGACCCGGCTAAGACCGAGGGAGGGGTCAAATGCATCATCAGTCATGAGTCCCTGCAAGAGATCTAAATCCAGCCCACCTTGAATGCCTTCATAACTCCCACTAATTTCCCTTGACTGTTATTAGTTCAAATTCTTGTAGAGATCGTAAGCTTACAATAAATCTTTATACACATTTGAACTGCCTGAATCTCCTGATTTCTCCAGCGCTTGACAATTTATACATTTAGACATCATGCAGGAGCATGCACAGGGGGATTAAAAAATGTCAAGATAGCAGACCTCCAAGGTTCCTTCCATCATCATCATCATCATCATCATCATCATCATCGAACAAAGGAGAAATTTCCTGACGGAACAATTAATCAGTGGAACGACTTGCCTCCAGAAATTGTGGGCCCTCTAATGCTGGAGGTTTTTAAAAAGAGATTGGTCAACTATTTGTCTGAAATGGCATAGGGTCTCCTGCTTGAGCAGGGGGATGGACTAGAAGACTCCAAGGTCCCTTCCAACTCTGTTATTTTGTTATTTTGTTAAGAGAAGCCTTGAAAATTGTGTTCCATTTTGAGCCATGCTGGTGAGGCAGCCTTCAAGTCGTGTAGAGCTTTATAGGTCAAAACACACACTGTTAGACTACAGTGGTAAATGCCAAGGAATAGGTGCAAATTGCTCTCCTAGGATGCACTGATTAGCAAGGATATGCATTGTATGCATTATCTTCAGCAGCTGAGTTGCTCTCAGTGTGCAGTCCCATGATGAATCAGTTAGAAACTAATGTCATCTCAGACCTTCAGTCAACTGCATTGTCCCATCCTTTGGTATTTGGATTTGGGTAATCTTTTGTCCCCGAACTTACATACGTACATTTAAAAAAATCTACTTGTATTTCAACAAGGGGCAGATGGACCTTTCATAATTGCAAGCCTGAATTACTTAGAGTAGAACTTCAAGGCTCTGTGTCTGTATACAACCAAATTGCCACTTAGTTGGAGATCACTCATAAAAAAAATGCATTCATGATTTGGTTGCCTGTAGGTGTGCAGTGCTAGAAGACAGCTTTATTGGCATAATGGTGATGTGTAAAACTGTACTGCACAAAGTAGACACAAATCGAGTTATAACAAAGAAATTGTTTCATTAAGCAACAGTCATAACTACGAAGATGTAATCAGTTAATGGTAGAACTCCAATTTTCCATGCAGAAAGTCCATATTTTGTTTTAGTTCCGGGAATCGTTAGAAGGTTTATAAAAATTCCAGCCTGAAATTTGGAACAGGCTTGGTCAATCATTGTGGGCAATATTTGATTAAAAGGATCATACAGTGGAAGAAAGCTTCCTCAGATTCACAAGATCTGAAGGACGAATCACTCCATTCAATAATGGAATAATAAAAACCACAGCTTGATTAACTGACCAATAAACCTTTTTATTAGAACAATGCATTATGAAAGGCTACACGTTAAGACCCATTTATATGTCTGGTTTGGATACTTACATATTGACAGGCTTTTAGGTTTTCTTTAAGTCTTAAATTGTTTTACCATTATTTATTGAACAAGTCAAAATTGCTTGTGTTCACACATAACATAAGCCATAAATTATCATTTACAAACCAGAGGCCCAAATCAAACAAATTGCATCATATGTGAACCAAACCTAATCCTCATTTCAAATTTTAGGGAGGTTTATTTTTTGCAATCTGTCTTAGTTTCCACCAGTCAACAACCAAAGTATTTGTCCTTCCTCTATTTCATCTCCCCAACCCACCTCCTTATTCTCCTCTGTGGATGAATGCCAATTTAGGATTAATTTAATTGAATGATGATCAGAAAAGTACTTTTAAAGGGCCCATTTTGTTATGAGGATCAGTTGGGGGTGGGGGTGGAAGAGAGAGAATGTCAGGGGTTTCAGTACCTTGGAAAGTTCCAAAATAGCTTTCCTCTTCATGAGAGGGATTTGTTGTTGTTTTTCCCTCTTGAATTAAGATTTGCTCTTTTCCTGGAGAGTGTTAATGGTACCTTTTTGAGGAGGTGGAGCCTAGCGCTCAATTTGATCAATTCTGATCAAAGTCTCTTTGTTGGATGCTGTCTGCAATTGTTGAACAAGAACCAAACTTTGGAGGCTCCTAAGGTATCATTTCTTTTTAGTCTGGCTTTCTCACTTTGCTCTTTTTACACTCCACTCCATGCCCACATTACCAAGTAACGCAACCAGGTAGCTTTCCTTCCTTCCTTCCTTCCTTCCTTCCTTCCTTCCTTCCTTCCTTCCTTCCTTCCTTCCTTCCTTCCATGGGTCCTCTGACTGCAGTCTGACTCTAGCATTACCATAATGCATGAAGAAGGAGAAGAAGAAGGAGGGGACGAAGGAAGGAAGGAAGGAAGGAAGGAAGGAAGGAAGGAAGGAAGGAAGGTAGGAAGGAAGGAAGGAGTTGTGTGAGAGAAGAACCTTAAATTATCCAGTAGATTGTTGCATGTTCCTTCTGGCTGTTAGGATTTGCATCTCCTGCTAGAAATGTAATTCACAAACTAAGCCTCATTTTAAGAAATTGATTTGTGAGGTGCAGGCAACTCACCTAGTCTCCCTCCCCCCCAAGAAAAATGCTGCTTCCCAAAATGATGTTATCTCAACTACTTGATGATGTCTCCACAGATAACATCCTAGAGCAGTGTTTCTCAACCCTGACAATTTTAAGGCATGTGGACTTCAACTCCCAGAATTCCACAGCCAGCATTGCTTGCTGTGGAATTCTGGGTGTTGAAGTCCACATGCCTTAAAATTGTCAAGGTTGAGAAACACTGTGCTAGAGGAATCTCAGCAAAAGTTCTATTTTTCTCTGCTATCACATGGGTAGTCACAAGCTGTGGGTTTTTTTCGGAAGTCACTCCTGACCAGTGTCTTTCACTGTCTATGCAATAGCCTGCATAGACTGTGGGAAGAAGACAAAGCATCTGGAATCTAGAACTGAAAATAATACTTTTTAAAAACAAAAAACCAAATGTTGTGTACACATTCTCCCTGCAGACTGGTCCAACCTTTATAGTTCTATCCAGCCAAGCATCCTCAGAAATGTAATTCATGGAATATGCTAAGAATTTGCAGTCTTTTGGCTTCTCTGAAGAGAGGAAATTACTATGAAACAAGTTTGAGTTGGTAATGTAAGGAGAAAATTTCTGAACAGGGCTGGTGGAGACTGTTTTTTTTTTTTTTCCAGTTCTCTTTGCTGATGGAGAAAAAGCTGAGCCCCATGACACGAGTCTCTCTGGATGGATAGTAATTACTGCTATTACAAATGGTCAGAATGCTCTTTGGCATACATTTAAACTTGAATCAAACAGTCACCTCTGTGCTTTTGGCATTTCAATCGTATTTGGCTTGAATTTACCAATTCTAATGATACGGTATTAATAGCTAGATGATGGACTTAAAAAAAAACGTGGACTTGATTCAGTCAGGTACGTCATTTCTCACATCGGCTGGAGAACTTACTCAGCCACTTGTCTGCCAGTCAGAAATTATAAACCAAGATTGTCTTCCTAGGAAGTTGTTGAATAAACCATAATTGGGTGGATGCATGGAATTCCATAAAGCAAACCAAAATAGCTGAGCAAAAATAGTGTGCTAAACCCTCGAGAATTCTACCCAGTTTTGGATTCATATGGTGCATGAATTTAGCCATTATGATTTGTCAACTGCGATTAACAGTTTATTTTGTGAACCAAGCCAATTGTAGTCCGCTCCA